TGTGGAGGTCACTACACAGCCAGGGGAAGAATCTTCTCTAAAGGTGGATGCAGATTAACAATTTAGTTCAGATCATAAGTGCACTTCTAAAATTAATCTCACGATCGTCCCCACTTATTGTTCTTAAATTTGAACCACATAGCAGTATTAGAGCACATAAACTGGATTCTTTTCATATGAAACTGAAGGTGAGGCTCAGGACTAGCTGTAAACGGGAATTCAGTCCATGGCATCAGACTAGAGACAGTCTGAAGTGACACCCCCTAAAAGAAAACCAGGCTGGTTGTTGAGCCTTCATCAACAACTTTTTTTCTCTACAGATAATGCTCTCCTGAAGTCATATATCAGATGCAACTTATTCTTCCAGCTTAATTTTCACTATTAATGTATCTGACTGGGGGGTGGGGGGTGGGTGAGTGGGAGACACCCACAGTTGGGACTGTAGGTTGAAGGCACAAGTCTATGAAGGTGTGGTAGACTATACTGCTTGCATCTTACTGGTGCTAATGGTAGATTGGATGTAGACTTCAAGAGTACATGGTATTAGAGCACTGCTCCATGTCATTTGCTTGAAATGGTACATGAGTTTGGATGACTACAAATGAGCAGGAACATATAAACTGAAAATCTATTCCCTGCAGAATGCAGAAGATCATTAAAAACTGTCACCAGATCTTACAGCTATTTGAAAATGCCTTAAAGCCAAACTAAGTTTTTCCCAGTAGATTATAAAATGTAGCTGAGATGTAAACAGATCTTGAAGCCAAATAAATTGCCAAAGGGACATTTTCTTCTTTGCTGAATTCAGCTTTATGGACAGCCTCAAAGCTACTAATAAAATGAGAAATAAGTGCTTTTTATTTCTAAAAGTGGTTGTATACCATAATGATTCTTAAAAATTCCATGAGGCTTTCTGGATTACTACTGACTCAAATTATTCCTCTTCATCCCAATGAAAATAGGTATCTTCATTCTGCTATGGATTTCATCTAGTCTAAGCTTGAAAATCTTTGTCAATATAGCAAAGTTAGTTCAGACTGTGATATTTTAATGACATTTCCCACTGGCAAAAGCCCTTATAGAGATGCTGTTACATAAAACTCAGGAAATCTTGAAAGCTGGACTGTCAAAAGCACCTTTTTGCCACTAGGAACTTTGTCAGCTCTAGGTGGGGATGCCCACCTAGTGAGGAAAAGTCTTTGTTCAACTGTAGCTATGGTAATAAACCTGTGGGTATCACAAGGGTGCATCAGTGACTGATAATGTGTAACAGTGGAAAGGGAAGCACATATTTCAGTGAAGTCTGTGTTCAGTCTGTTAAGGATCCTAAGGTGATGCTCCACATGAGAAAAAGTGGTAACAAATTCTTCTCAGCCAGTAACTTCCAGCAGCCATTTTTGGGCTCTTACCCTCTCGTTATTGAAAAATGTAACAAATATATCTCAACTCTTATCTTCAGCTCAGTAGCTTATGTAACAAAGAGTTAAATGTAGAGGATCGTGCTCAAGAACTCCAGACCCCCCGGTTCCACAGTTGGAGAGACCCATAGGCTCTCTTAAGAGAAGAGGGCATGTCATCTGAATGGATATTCAGTGTTAAAGGATAGTGTACAAGACCCATAAACCTTATTACCTCAGCATAAAACAAGTTCAGTGGAAAACATAGCTCTGGGAAGAATATGGAACATATAAGGGAATCCTTGCTTAGAGTTCTTGTCTTACTGCTACAAGAAAACTCAGTAGCAGAACAGTAAACACCTGCTTCTGATTTAAAGACTTCAGGATGAGTGATGTTGTATGTGGTTTTAGCAGGGTGAAAAATTACCTTCTGAACACCAAACAAGGTTTGAGGTAGCGGGACCTCTCTGTGATGTGGCTGCGAGTTGAAACCCTTTTGCTTTGCTAGCTTGTGGTTAGAAATAGCTTGAAGAATAAATGAGTAAAGGTAGGGGAAGAGCTGTTTCAATAAGCTGCACACAGTGAGATGATGCTTAGAGGGAAAATCTCTCAGATTAATATGAATTTTAAACATTTTCAGAAATAATCATTCAGAAACTTAATCTTTCAACTCAGCAGGTTTTTCTCTAGTTCTCCAAATTCCCAAAATGGAGGAGGATCCCTACCCTACTTCAAAAGCTTTTCTGAAGGTCGGATTACAACTCTGTGAGTAGCAATTCACATCATATGCCTCTGAAAATCAGTTCTCTACTATTCAATCATTTGATAACTTCCTCTGTTTTCAGCATATAAGTCATCTAATAAGGTACTGCAATGTTCTGCGCCAGAAGTATCATCTCTAATAGGCCTTCCTTTAGGAGTAAGAAGATGCTGTGATTACAAACATAGGGTAAACCACCCTATATGCAACAGTAAGAAAGTAATCTGTGTTGAATTTTAGCAAGATTGTTACTAGTAATGTTCTTATACAAATATGATAGTGTAAACAAGCATTTTGTTTCAGTTTTAGCATTTCGGTTTATAGAAATAACCCTCCTTCTTAGGAAGCTTATTAAATTTCTGGACTTTCTGCTGGTGCTCAAGCTTTATGGTACATTCTTTGGTTCTAATTCATCCTACAGAGAACCAGTTTCATTCTTCATCTTGACAACCACAGTACGCTCGTGATTACCCCCATGTTAAACCTGGTTGATAATGGTGGCAATCTAGCATTCCCTGAGTGCAGTAAGGCTGGTGCAATATATCTATCCTTATTAGGTAATTTCCTGTGCTATGAGACAGTGCAGAAATATCCTCCAACATATGAAATATAGTTGCATTCCACTTTAATAGTAAAATACTACGCTTTTAAACCTCTCAGTAGCTGCTCAAGCTATCTTTCAGTATGATGAATCAGATAGCATATCTTTCTTCTGAATAGCCTTTTTAATAGAGACACAATTTCCATAATTACTTTTATCACCTATCTAATACTCACTTTGAGATTTGTGTATGCTATTGTTCACTCCCTTGTCCTCTGTTTGCACTGAATTTTATCATCAGGACTGTACTTTGCTTCTCTCCTTTCTACCAGGGTGGTTCTGATCACTACCAGGCTGGTATCCAAGAGGAGACTTGAGAACCATCTCAACCACCAGAAGTGGAATGTTTAGCAGCTTGCTTATTTCTAGGTTAAAGTCAAGATTTCATAGAATCATAGAATAGTTAGGGTTGGAAAGGACCTTAAGATCATCAAGTTCCAACCCCCCTGCCATGAGCAGGGACACCTCACACTAAACAATCTCACCAAAGGCTCTGTCCAACCTGGCCTTGAACACCGCCAGGAATGGAGCATTCACAGCTTCCCTGGGCAACCCATTCCAGTGCCTCACTACTCTAACAGGAAAGAATTTCCTCCTTATATCCAATCTAAACTTCCCCTGTTTAAGTTTTAACCCATTACCCCTTGTCCTATCGCTACAGTCCCTAATGAAGAGTCCCTCCCCAACATCCCTATAGGCCCCCTTCAGATACTGGAAGGCTGCTATGAGGTCTCCACACAGCCTTCTCTTTTCCAGGCTGAACAGCCCCAACTTTCTCAGCCTATCTTCATACAGGAGGTGTTCCAGTCCCCTGATCATCCTCGTGGCCTCCTCTGGACTTGTTCCAACAGCTCCATGTCCTTTTTATGTTGAGGACACCAGAACTGCACACAATACTCCATGTGAGGTCTCACAAGAGCAGAGTAGAGGGGCAGGATCACCTCCTTCAACCTGCTGGTCACACTCCTTTTGATGCAGCCCAGGATACGGTTGGCTTTCTGGGTTGCAAGCGCACACTGCCATGGTATGAATAAAATAAGAATGAAACGCTTATGTATCAACTGATGCTGGTGAGTTAATCTCCCATCATGTTCTTGATTTTATCCCATTGCCAATATGGTTTGCTCACTGAGTTCCTTTAGGGTGAGGAATGAGAGGAACTTGTGAGCAGCCTCTGGTTTTACCAGTGTACAAGGAAGTCTGTAGTGACTGAAATTCCCCCTCACTCATAGACCCAGGTGAGTGGTGAACAGGCTACTTTCAAAAGCAGAACCTGTGGCACATAGGCATAGATTGAAGGGGAACAACCCAGACAAAGCAACTGCTTTTTCTAAGGCATTAGTAACTAACTGTGAAGCAAGAAGGCATTTTGTAGAATGAGAATGCTCTCCCTTTGTAGCAACACCCTATCCTCTGCATCCTCCCCTACAGACAAGTTACCCCTGCCAGAACCTCAGTATAAAAGGCATTTGTTCAATGCAGCCAAATGCAAGGAAAACAGTGGGATAAAGTCTAGGAAGAACAGCATGAGAGAAGAGCTAACACAAAATCTCTATGAGAAATTCCAGCACCTGACTGTTTAGATACAAGTCTACAAATTTTGTTCTCTGCTGTTAAAGGCAGTCGGGATCTGAAAGATGTCACGTCATTGCATGGGACACGTAATACATTCTCTGTTTCCCCACTCATTTTCTCCTTGCACGAGCTAGAAAAGAAAAGAAATCACAAAAACCAATGAAAGGACTAAGTTTCTTTCACTAAATAATTTTGCTCTATTGCAAAGTTTACGAAAAAAGTCTCACAGGCTTAATATCAGGATTTTTTTTTGGAAACCTAAGACTGTATGTTTGAAACTATACACTGCTTTTTAACTTTCTGCTAAGTATTGCCCCCCAATTCCAACACAGGACTATTATCAAAGCAAGTCTATGCCACTGGCCTGTCCTCACAGAAGCTGTCAGGACTGTGTCTTTACGGTACCTCTATTAAAACAGAGAGCAGCCCCGTTGTTCTGGTTCATCTACAGTGGGAAACTCAGAGTCTTCCCCCAAGTGCTGCACCCATGTGCTTGTTTATTGGTAGCAGGCCCAGGCTCTGGGTTGCTGATTATACAGTAAGCACCTGCCCATGGCTCAGGGCAGACTTCCTGTTCCAGCGCCGCAACTCTGCAATGAGATTTATGCAAACTGGCTCAAGGCTGTGATGTCACAGCCCCTGATAGACCCACGGGCTATCTCCCTTCTACAGACATTTAATAAAATCAGGAACTTCACACACAGCCCAGGAAGTTCACCTCAGAAACTATTAGGGCAAAGAATAAGAACTTGTTAGGGTCCTTCTCCTATCCCGAGGTCCATCACAGCTAAAGGACTTCACGGAGTCCAAGGATCTCACTTTATTTTTTCTTTTTTTTTTTTCCTTTTTCTTTTTTGTTTGTTTCATGTGATTGCTTCAAGTCAGTTTTTCTGGATGCTTGAAAACTGAATTAAGAAAAATTCACTCCGAGGTTGGCTGAATGTTGCAAGCTTGCAAAATGGAAGGATTTCCCCTCATTCCCCCTGTGAGTATATGAGGTTTATTCCTAATATTGATCATTGGGATCAGTAGTGAAAGGCAAAGTAAACCAGGTTTATTATTTGAGAATATCTCTGGTTTGGTCTGTATTTGTAATGCCAGGAAGTTGGGCTTAGGTCAATATATACAGCCAGTGACAGCACTGCAGTGAATGGGAAATCAACATTTCCTCCCAAAACTTGTATCTGATTTTTGATCTCCATTTGTTTTCACAGATTAAATGTATGGTATTGTTGTACAGTATGCGCATAGCAAGTCGGTACTGCTTTTCCTTTAGTGCCGGCTTTGTGATGTAAGGCCGAGTCTTTCTTCAGGTTGTAATTCTTAATAATCTGGAGTCTCTGACATAGTTTGTGTGTTTGACTATCTACCAGTCTGTGAGAGAAGAGTTGCTGAATGCTGATTTTACATATTGCAGATTTTAGGACTCTCTGCTCTTTTCAGTGATGGCATCTAAGTCTGTAACTTACTATGGAAAACCATCACTTGCTATGAAAAACCAATCGGTGAATGAGAGTTGCAAATCCACAGGGCTTAAGTGGGTCTTTCAATGTGCTCTCTAAGATACAAACTTTTCTGCATGCTTATGAGGCTGTTCCTATCCTTTCTTTAACTCTGAAACATTGTTACACTGCTGTAATTTATTGTACCCTGAGTTTGGAAGTAGTTTATGAAGCGCATAATGTCACTAACCTGTTCTTCAGAGACAAACCTGAATGGGAAATCTCTAAACAGACTGGGTAAAAGAGGCCCTAATTAGATTGTATGAAGTTTGTAGAAGCTGAAGAGATGTCAGATAAGGTGTTTTACTTGGCTTTTTATGTGGTAGACGACCTACAGTAATTGCTGTCTGTGTTCAGAAAACAGAAAGAGACAATGAAGATCCAAGAGTCCTTTTAACGAGACTTGTATCAAGTCTTCTTTTTGTCTTGCTAAGGACAAAAAACCATGTCCTTGCTAAGGCCAAGGACATGTTTCCTTATCTTCTACCCAGAGAGATAGCCCCTTGAGTTCCATTCATGTTTGGTATCCATGCCTGCTGAAAATATGTCTTCTTTTCGGGAGACCCTTTATTCTAGCAGTTCACCATCACTGTCCCTGAAATCCCACATCAATCCAAAGGGGAGAAGACCCTAAAAATCTTTCCTCTTTTTTTTTTTTTTTTTTGCTTTAATTCACCGAATTGCCCAATGACTCTGCTGTAAACGCGTCAGGACAGAAAGCTGAAAAGAAACTGAGAAAATGAAAAAAGTACACAGCGATTTTCAGTACGTTACGTGTTGGACTTAAAATAAGTTTCAAAAGAAACCCAAACCTTGTCCTCAACTACCCCAGAAGCCAGCATCTCCATTTAAAAAGAGTAAATAATTGTTAATTTTCTGTTCACTCATTCATGCATAGCCAAGTTTTCTGGACCCTCTTTTTTCAGTATTGAATTCCAGTGCACACACGGGATAAATGGAGTGAAAATCTAACACAGCCTGGCCCATAATTTGTGTTGCAGTTAATATTCTGGCTGTATTCTGTTCAGATGATTGATACAACAGGCAGTGAAAATAAAATTGTGTCCTCCAGGAGCACCTGACAGGGCAATTTGTTCTTTATTTTTGTGATTAAAGTGTCCCATGATTAATGATTTGTGTTTTGTATTTTCAAAACTGTTTTAAGTGCATTTTGAGCACTGCAAGTTAGAGCCCCACACAACTTCATTATAGATGTCTGTGTCTCCTGGGACATTTTTAGAGGGGAGCCATAAGCCCGTTTCTAGACAGGGGGTTCTGTGAAGCAATACTTCCCTCCTCTGCCCCTCCTCTTTCAGTTGAGGGTGGTTCAGTAACTGCCTTTCTCTTGGCTGTGTGAGGAAACTCTTATCCTCCATTTGGAAAACACTGCTGGTTTAAATGGTCTAAGAGTATTGCATCTTTCTCTGAAGATCAGGACTTTTGTATGGAAAAGGTTTGCAAACTGGGCCCACGTTTTTCAGTGCATGACAGAATCTAATTGTGCTACAGAGCCAAAAATCAAGAAGTCAAACAACTTTGCCTAAAGAGGGCCCCAGTTATATGTGAATCCCTAAGTAGCCACCTGTAGAAGTCACAGCTTCAAATAGAAGTATATTCATATGAAAACAAAAATGCCTCACGGAAAGCTCTGTTCCACATAACTGCATTGCCAGCATGGTCCAGTGAGGCAGTCCCAGTGGGTGATTATGCTAATACCTTTACTCATCTTTTCTGAAATAGTTATGCTGTAATTTTTTTCCAAGGAAATATGGTTAATCTGGGCCTTCAAACTTGTCTCAGCAGCACATCACTGGAAACTGTGTGGAGTAATTCTGAATCACATGCCAGTGAATAGTTATGTTAGGATAACAAAAAGGATCAGCTTTTAGTGAATTAACAATCACCTGGAATCATCTGACAAAGTCTTGGTGAATAACAAGAATTTCCAGATTGCTATTAAGTCTCCTGTATTTCTCGTAACCAATGTCAGCCAAACCTTCTCCAAGTGGTTTTGTGGCTTTTCCCTTGATTTTCAATGCAAAGAAGGAAGATGGTGGTAAATCTCCATTTATCAAAGTCTGCGACAGATAAAGTATTGTTTGTTGATCTCTTGCTTGAGGTTGGAATATGGTTTTAGATAATGTGCTGTACCTCATGGCATGTACAAAAGGAGATATCAACTTCAGACCACAGCTATGAATAACAAAGCTTTCTGTCACTGACTTAGATGAAAACAATTGACAGAACAAATGGCCACTGACATCAGTTAAATATTAAGTTGTAACATAAGCCATTCTTTGCTTTTTGTCAGGGGAAACAGAACAGTTCAGTGTCATGGAAGTGCTATTAGTAAGATGATGAAATGGGTGTGTGGGTGGGGAGGTTCCAGGGGAGGATGGGGCAAGTGGGTAAAGATTGGTACAAGAGGCAACAGCAGCACATGGTGAAACCTATTCTCTCAAACTAGAGAAAAAGCTTTTAATAAAAAAAACAGAGAGAGATTAAAAACAGGTTCTTGGCAATAGTTTCTCTAACGAACAGAGGAAAATATCCCATTTTCCCATAGGATAGAGAAAATCAGACAGTACATTCTGTACCACCTCCTTTGGCCACCATCTGATTAAGTTCATGATACTTAAACTTTCAAATATTTAATATACATCTTCCCACATTTGTTACTGTACCCTTGAAGCTCAGACAGCAAGATGGTAAATGGTGCCAATTCAAGTCCTTTGTGGGCATGGATTAGTCCAGATCGCATGAGTTAGCAAAGATATACACATACGTATTTTATCACATGGGTCACTGAGCAGAAAACAAATTCAAGGAAGAAAATTCCCACAATGTATAGCAATGAGATTTGAAGTCCCAGGCTTTTAAAAGTGGGGATTAGAAAAACACAGTGATCTATGTAAAAGCAGACTGGTTTTTAGGTGTTGAGTGTCTGCAATCACTCCACAATCAGCCAGGTCTGTAAATATTAAGGGAACCACTTTTTTTATTTAACGCACCTTCCTCTAGCTCTGCTCATTGAATACACCTCTGAACTTGTAAAACTACCTTTTGAATCGTAGAAATACTTCATTCTCAGTTCCAAAATTGTGAGAAACCATTGCCTGTTACAGTATATTGGACTGAAATGGGGGAGTTTGGAGTATCTTACAGAAGAAGAGACAACAAAGGAAACACAGCTAGGAAAAGTCAAATGTTCCTTCCCATGTCCAAAATATGTATTGTTTATCTACTTTTGGACTGATGCTTGGCTTCCTGCCAAGCTATATTTCTGGACAGAGTTTTTGTCATAGCAGTGGAAATTTTATGCATAGCAAATTAAGCTTAGGTTGACAGAACAGTAATTTCTTTGGAAATTTGCTTACTTTTGGCACAATATTTATCACAGACACAAGTTTTGATGCATTTGGATATAAAATTTTAGTAATTTCAGATTCTAGTATTTTAGTTAAAAAGAAATGATTTATATATAACTTTTTTTAACCTCCATTTCTCCCAAATAGTATGATGTGCATTTTCCATTTGGACATTGAGGTCTTTCCTTTCTCAGAATATGAATGCTTTCCTTTGAGGTGTCAAAACAATTCTGTTATGAAGGTTAAAAACTGCATACATTCTTCAGGTTGACGTGATTTATCAGAAAGCACATATTTATGGAAAGAAAACAGAAGAGTGGGGTGAATGAATTTGAAAAGATAATAAAGAGTAGAAATTCCCTTCAGAACCTTATCCTGAAGAAAGCAAACCACAGTTGAAGTGCTTTTTCTTGTCAGAGATTGGAGTACACCATTGATTTAAGGAATGGGGATGAGTGAATGCATATAACCAGTCATGGTTAGAGAGAACACAAAGAAAATATGTAGAGAAACACCGGAAGTATCAGAGAGAATCCATGCTCTACTCTCTCCTTTGACCTTTGGGGAGTAAGTTATACTTCCCATTAAATCTTTGTGTAGATGAAGGGCAAGTCTATTGGAATCTTATGGATTTGAAAAGGAAGACTGCACCTATGTCCTCTGGAGACCAGAAGTAAGATGAGTCCCTTCACTGGTATCCCTACAATTAAATGATGATTTACGCCTTTTACTTAGTCTTTCCCTTATATTGTCTTTATTGTCAATTATTGTCTTCTCAAGAGTTTTCCAAAACAGTTACCACCACCACCAATTATATTGGGAACAGACAGCCAGGCAATGGATTTGCTCCTGAGGGTTTCAATATTCCATGGATCTGAAGCCCATGAACACCTTAATGCCCTCAGAATAAGTCTCTCTTTTTCTTGATGCAGTTTCATCCATGTCATTGTAGAAATCACAGCCCTAGAAAAGGACAATATTTAAATCCCCAGATTCCACCAGAATGAACTGAAGGAGTTAACTAGAATTTAACAGTAGAGTTAATGAGCAGTGGTAACTCTGATGTAGTATTCACCAGAAGAAAAATCTTTTCCTCCTGCCACCTGCTTATCTACCACCTCCATCTGGATTTTAATGGCGGCTGCTGCCTTAGGTGTCAGGTTCTCCAGTAGTCTAGAGGAGGAAGAAAAAGAGAAGCTCACTTGCATTTCTGGCATGCTGTCACCATAGCCTGAGCTTGCAAAATGCTGGTGTACCAATAATGAGATAGATTTATGGAGGGGACATACAGATAGACATATGAACATATAAACAGGTGAACATTAAAAATATGCCCATCATTTAAGTTATTGTATTGTGTCAAATATTTGTCCTTTTCTTTTGAAGTCAGTTATGCTGAAGTCAGTAATGGAATAAAAAATGTTTCTGTTAGTACATACAAGAAATAATTTCAGGACATAAAGCAGAAGGCTTTTGAGTTCTACATTACTGTTGACACCTTAAGAATTTGTTCAGATTGAACTTAACTGGACAAAAGCTTAGCAAAGTCCTGTGAAGGACATTTTCCTGCTCTAAATCTTCATTCTCAAAAAAGAAAAACCAAACATCAAATGAAGCAGCAGAATTGTGCACAATTAATAATAAACAGAGCATCGTTACTGAAGCAATGTAAGATGTTAAAGAGTATTAACACTGGAGTACTAGGAGTGGGAAGGAAGACAAGTGGGAAAGTTACCCTATGTCACCTGTTTTAAGAAGATAGGAAGGACTTTAGCTCTACAGCTAAGCATCCAATAGGTCATGACTCAATATCTGACCCACATTTTAAGTCTTGTCTGTGCATACCTAACAGCCCTGTGCAGCTGATTTGAACCAGCAAACATTTACAGTTCATCTTGGAAAAAAAAAAAAGAGAAATAAAATGTTTTTATGCCCCCTGTCAACACCATTACTCTCCTACAAACTGCCACCATTTAATAAGACCTCCTAAAAACACTCAGAAAATCATCCTTAGGCAAGACAAGTTTCCGCTTTCTCTTTCGTGAGCAAGAGGAATAACAAATACCTGTCACTACCAAAGAGAAGGTTTCCCTGCTGTGCTGGTGTGATGGCACCCTGGCTTGTGGTTGATGTCCAAGACAGCTCTTTAAGCTGTACCTAGAGAAGGCTGGAGGGTGGGATATCAAGAACTTGTGTAATATCACGAGACAAATTGTGCCACACAGATTGGGTCTAAGGAGACTGATTATTCATTTATTTTTTGCAAACTACTGTTTGGTGTCACACATTTTATTTCTGCTGATTAAAAAAGAACTTGAAGCCTCCCCCTTCTTTCCCTAGGCAATATTAAATGTGTTGGCATCTCCCCTTCACTAACTATGAATAATTTTGAAGGGATTTGTATCATCTTACAACTCTAAAAATTCTTCTCCTCTTTGCAGCCCTCTGAAGATATGGTACCCTATGAGTCAGACCTCTACAGACAGCCCCATGACTATTACCAGTATCTCAACAGTGATGGAGACAGTCACGGTGGTAAGTTAAAAAAATATCTCCTTGGAGCATAAAGTCTCATGGGATACCACAGGAAAGACACTTTAGGACATTCAGGAAAAGAGCAAACATGTTGCTGTGATCTATAATGTATAGGCTCATAATTTCAGTTCAGAAACCAACAGTATTTCATTCTGCTTAATGGCACTGTTCCAATCCAGAACTGCAGCATGTTTTCTCTGAAAGAGAATTTTAGAAAGCACTGAATAATGCAAGGAGCTTCTAGGACATTGCCAGGAAGGTGGGATCTCATGGTCTCTATCCTGCATTATCTTCGCTGTGGTTTTGCTTACCCCTGCAGATCAAAAGTACTCTGTTTGATTCAGAGCTCTCTCCTGACCTGGGTTTGTAATAAATACTGTATTTCTTTTCCCGTGTTCCCATCTCCAATTGCTGTTTGACATAGGCCCTAGAACACTATCTGTGCCTTTATTTTAATTATGTTTCTTTGGTATTTGGCCTTTTTCAACTCCTTTTTCAACTCCATGTATTTCTCTCTTTATTTTGATCTCTTTTGCATGCTGCCACACCTAGCTTTAACTTTCACTCTTCCTCCAGTACACCCAAGTACTTCCTCTCTCTAAATCTATGTAAAATTTCCTTGTAGAAGTAAACCTGGCTTGCTATAAAAATACTGTATGATTATTTATTGCTTCAATTTATGTAAGTGATTTCAAAGCTTTCTTGTCTTCATATTTTCATGCTATCTGTGCACTGGACTCTAAATTATTGCAGACAGGAGAATCTTGCTTGGTGAATTTTGTCTCCTGTGTAATACAATAGTCCAACAACACCACCCTGGCAATATCAGAGTCAATATTGACTCAGTAAGGAAAAGCACCGTGCTCCTGTATCATTTGTGACAGTCCCTTCAGATCCTGGAGTTTCCCTAAAAGACTCCCACTGATAGAGCAACTAGACCCATCACTGCTTAATTTAAGAGATCTAACAACTCCACAGCATAGCACCGCTTTATCTGTGGAAACAAAAGTTACCTTGGGGGAGAGTAAGTTACAGAATAGAATTGTTCTGAGCATTTAACTGAAAAAGATTCCTACCTAAATTTGTTCTCTACATTGCATTTAAGAAAAACCTGTAATATTCTTTATGCCTGGAGACAAAGAATGAATTCAGTTGTTATAAGTTATCTCACGGCATCTGTCAAGTCACAGTGATCAAACCCAGCAAATTCCACATGGAAATTCAGGGTTTTTACATGATAACGTGTACCTGTTTACACACCCATAAAATGAGGATAATGTTTATTATCTCAAAAGGCAATTGTGACAATTAAACAATGACTGTAAAAGGTGTAGGAAAAAGCACTGGAAAATAACTTTTCTGTCATTAAACCTAGGTTACGTCAAGCAACAACATCCCTTTATCATTCATAATCTTATTATCACACCTGGTTTAGTACCCATTTCTTCTGTTGGAAGGCTGTTCCTAAGCTAAACTGCTCAGATCATTATGTTAATCATTATGTTAATGACCATTATGTTAATGTTAAAATCATTATGTTAATGATCTGATCATTTTTATTCATCATAATGAACACAACAAAAACTTGCAATCACTGCTTTGGGTAATGTCCTAAGTAGTACTTAAACACCCACTTTGAACAGAAATTTGACTCTGCCTAAACTTGTGTTGCACTTCTCGCAGAGATCCAAAACCTTGTTGTTTAATGGTTTAGCTCCTACAGTAAGTGGTTATGAAAGAGGCAACTTAATCCCAGCCTGCACATTTCAATCAAATCTTTATGAAATCACATGTAATATACTTGGTTGTGTCTAAATGTCTAATACACCCTCTGCATTCCCAAATTGCTCACAGTCTGAGAGACCAATGAACAACCAAAGAATACAAAAGAGAGTGAAAAACACAAATTAGCATGTTTGGCTTCTTTCCTATTAACATTGACAAACTCAACTTTGGCTTTCATTTTGTTGATGTGACAGAAGTAGTGGGTCTTCAGAAGAGCCATGGAGAAGAGCAGAAAAGGGACATCATAAACTACTTTGAGAAGTATGTACTAAATGTTCAGAACAATGTGGGTAAAAGCAAAATGACTGAAAAATGGTGGGGAAAAAGAATAAATAAGGTGCAGCAGTGGGACCAGTGAAATGAAAGAGATGAGAATATGATCAGATAGGATAAAAGAATAAGTAACTAGGACAGAATTGTGGGAGAGAAGTTTGGGGTACAGTGTGATCACTGGCAATAAATCAAACATAATTTTGCAGGTCTACTCAATACCACTATGGACTTCAAAGAAAAGCTACCAGGTAAAGTAAATACATACTACAAATGGAATAATACTTCTGACTTTGCTGATAAGGGGCTGCTAACAAAATAGAAGGTCTTGCTCAAGTGTCAGACTACCTTTCTTTCACTGCTAGCAAGTTAATTTTGTGACAGGAAGATAGCAATATCTAAAGATGTGTGCTACATGCATTACTGCCGCTTTTCTAGAACACAGTGCTGAAGGCAAACCTAACTCCATGTTTATCTGAGTAGGCAGTGATGCACACACTATAGTGTGTCACTAATTTAATGTGTAGATCATTGCAAATAAGTGAACAGTGAATTTAACAAGCAAAACCACACCATAAACATATCCATCCACATGTTCATCACAACATGCATTGGTTGCATTTATTTTGTATGCTGTAGTTTAACCATTTTGTAAATACTGTAATAAACATAGAACACAGCCAAGGTGGACAGATGCTACAAGTGATCAGGTATTAGTCCATCACCCCACCCTAAGCCTGTATGCTAGTAAGTCTGTAAATGTAATACAGCCTGTTTTGTAACACTAACGCAATCTTAGTAATTACAAAATTCCACTGCAGCTTTGTCTCAAAGTTATTACTAAACTTCATGGGTTTAGTAAAAATCACTTTTTGTATGAAGCTAAATGCTGATGCTTGTTCACTTTGTTGCTGGCCTCATGGAACTTACTCGATTTCATGATCTGGGATTTTATTTTCATCCCACCACAGTAATATGATCATTTAAGAATCCCAGCTTTGACTTTTTTTAGGATTTTAGCCCACAAAGAAGTGGGGGAAAGTCCAAACATGTGAACCTTAGTCTCAAATGCTATATGGAAAATAGAAAGAACTCCAAACTTCACTTAAAAATCCCCTCACTTTGAAGCCATTCTCATGCTTTGCTGACTCATAGATTTTGAATATTTTGGCATTATTAAAATCATGATGTTTGTGAAGTGAGAAGGAATGAAAGCCTACTGTCGTTACAAACAACACTGATGCACTGCCTAGGAGCACAGCTTTCACTTAACAAAAAATACTCTGTGGGAATCTAGACATTAATTTCCCAGGGTCCTTCAATTTTCCCAGGTTTTCTCAGATGAGTGAAACACAGTGAGAACATCAAAGCTGTGCAACGGGGCACTGTGTAAGAAACCCTCTCCTAGTTTTAATGTGTTGGAAAAGCTGTACAGCCAGAGCAGAGCCACTCAGAGATATTAGCTCAGACCTCACAAGTACAGCCATGTCAACAAGTTGTCTCCTTGGTCCAGGCAGAGTGCTGTGCTGACAGAGCTGTCACGTTTCCGGTTCAAGAGCTGGCTCATGAATTTCTTCATAGTTTTGTGCTGTGTGGTGCAGATCTAGCCTATTACTCCACTTTCATTATAAATACCTTCCTTAAGCCTGTTTCACATTCTAATTGCTGGTTCTAACATTATTCATCTATTAAAACAGGAGCAAAGCAATTCACATTGGTCAAAAGATGAATGAGAAAGTTCAGTCATGTTTTCTCACTTGTGGAATGAAAATCAACCTCTGTGGTAAATACTAACACAATGCCTTTAGGTCCACTGTTGCTTCCCAACAGGCTAACATCCTCCCTGCTATGGGAGGGAGCTCAGAGTTCATGATTGTCCTTCCTCTAACCTTTCACTACATACAAGACCAAAACAAACACCATCTCCATGTCTCTATAAGAGAGAATTTATTTCACATCCTCTTTCATTTCACATGAAATTTCTCATAATGACTCCATTGTGTAGCTATATCTTGGCTTTTAATGACCATTTGCCTTTACCCAAAGAATAGACACTTTCCATTTCTAGAATTTTTCTCTCCTTTCTTTTTAACTCCTTTCACCTTAACATTTTTGAGAGAACAGAATCGCTATTGTGCTGCTGACATAACAAAGAACATAGAATAAGTAGCTGCTGCTAACTCTAATAACTGCAGCCACGGATATTTAGCGGGGTTTTATGTTTTCATGAGCAATAATATAACCAGGCTGGTTAACTACAGAGGGGCTTGTGGAGACAGAATTTTCTCTTTTGATGTAACTAAACCAATATTGTTTTTTCTAAGCATCACCGTAAAATTACAGGTAATTTAGAAAGAAATAAGGGCGTAAACTCCTGTCACAGCTTGAATATTTGGGCAAAAGTTTGTGTTGAAGTAATAGCCGATATAGATTTATTTTGTAATGCATTAGTATTATGTGATTACTGTTAAGTCCCTAAATGCTGTGCTATTAGTACTATGCTACTGTAGTATTTTAGCAGCTGCACCTAGTTCCATAAAAAGGGAATTTGGTAATGACTAGGCTAAATAGCACACATGAATATGCATAAATAGTGTTTCATAAGTTTTATTTGCCAAGAAAGTGTTTAAAAGAACACTTCTGCAGGCAGCAGGAACCTTGCCATAGGCTTCAAAAATTGAAGTATAAAAACATAGACTCATAGAATCAGAGAATATTTTAGGTTGGAAGAGACCTTAAAGATCATCCAGTTCCAATCCCCCTGCCATGGGCAGGGACACCTTCGACTGGAGCAGGTCGCTCAAAACCTCATCCACGAGTACTAATAAAAAAGTACTTCAGAAGAATCAGAAGTAGACACTCAGAGCACACACAGATACTCATGGCTATGCGTGTGGTAAAGGTAGTGGGCTTTTTCTTGACCACATAGTTACTGCCAGCAAGACATTCCACAGCTGAAGACCTGCCATTGACAGCCTCAGAGACTTTTACCTGGGCTTTGTCATCCTCACAGTCATGCATTGATCTCTCTGACTGTACCAGATTATGAAAGGCAAGGGGTCTTTGGAGGAAGGAGCAGAAGGAGCAGAACCAGAATGAGAGTATAGATTACTCCTGCAATGTGTTCTCAACAATTTATTATACAGGGTTGTCCATGATTTACGGGGCCTCAGTGGTTGGATCTACCTGAAGAAATCTGCAGTAATTTAGCTCAGAAAAAAAACAAGTTAGTGTGGCTCAATCGTCCAGTTAAACAAAACAATTTCAGACTGAAAGTTCCCAAGGCCTCCTACAGGACACAGCTTTAGATGACCTTGGATTCAAACATACACACTCTGCCATTTCCTGGGTTGGAGCAGATGTGAATGTAAAAGTACCTGGGTACTTTGCACCCATAAACCCTAGTGTTTTACCAGAGAAAACAAAATTTTTGTCTAGCACTACAACATGAAGAAGTGCATTGTAATTATAATTTTGGGCCATAAAATCCATACATAGCCACAAAAAGCACTATAGAACAAAGCAAAGAAATGACAAAGTAATGCCTCAGCTCCCTATGTGCTTTTATAAGTACCTTTCCATCCCTTTCACATGCAGTGACATGACTTATTCATGGATCAGAAAAGCAGGAAGGACAAAAAAGTAAGCACTGAGGAAAATGGTCTGATAGAGCCTCCAAATAAGCCTCTACAGGCCTGAGCCCTAAAGCCAGCTAAAAGAGCTTACAACTTCTCAGGTACCAATCACATACCAACTATGTTTGGTATAAGCATATCACTGAGTTCTCTCTAAAGGAAGCGACATTCAAAGTCACTATCCCAGATTTCAAATCCTCAATGGGATTAGACGTAAGTGTTTGAAACATAAGTTGGGAAGGAAGAGGAGACCGAATCTGAGAGAAAGAATGAAGCTAGTATTTAAGAAAAAATGTTCACAGCACATTAGTATCCAGATGATGCCATAGACAATAACACCATGTTGCAGAATTGAACAATTGGTTCTACTCTATAAACTCAGTACACCTACACTTAGAATCATAGAATCATAGCATAGTTCGGGTTGGAAAGGACCTTAAGATCATCAAGTTCCAACTCCCTGCCATGGGCAGGGACACCTTACACTAAACCATGTCACCCAAGGCTCTGTCCAACCTGGCCTTGAACACTGCCAGGGATGGAGCATTCACCACCTCTCTGGGCAACCCATTCCAGTGCCTCACCACCCTAACAGTAAAGAACTTCTTCCTTATATATCAAAATCTAAACTTCCCCTGTTTAAGTTTTAACCCATTACCCCTTGTCCTATCACTACAGTCCCTAATGAAGAGTCCCTCCCCAGCATCCCTATAGCCCCCCTTCAGATACTGGAAGGCTGCTATGAGGTCTCCACACAGCCTTCTCTTCTCCAGGCTGAACACTTGGTACAACGTGTTCTGTTCTGTCCATCACATTATCAGAAGGATTGCAACAGCTGGGAGCTTGAAGAAGAGAACAAGTATGACTGGGGGGGTGAATATACTGATTTATATTGAAAGACTGAGAGCTAAGTACATGCAGCAGGGTGAAGTGATAATTAGGAGTAGATTGTAAGATGAAATGATAACAAGCTGAAAATATTTGAAGGGTATAACAGAAATGATTTTTAGTAATACAAGGAAATACAACTTGGAATAGTAAGATGTAAATTAGAACTGTTACACTGAATAACATAAAGAAATTTTGGCCATGCATAACATGATGCCTTAAAAATTCAACTGTGAAAGATTAATTTCTAGCACGGTCAGAGCAGAAGACATGAGGTCGTCTTTGATTTTACAAAGCAGAGTGCACACAAATATGTACGTAATGATGCATGCAGCTGCTGTAAGAGAGAAACAGAGTTTGCAATGCTTCACATTTCCTCCAGCAGATTTTAAATTTTGAGCAGCAAATACGAAATTCTAAAACTGTTGGAGTCTTATTATTGAACTTAAAACCCCAGAAATCGAAACCTGAAGATGAGAGGGAATTTAAATTTAAACATAAATAAATCAGGAAACAGGAGTCATTATCTGAGTATTTTTTTACATTTTTGAAAAAAATTATCACAGACATGTCCTACATACTGAAGAGATAAAAAAGGTAGAGAAAGAGTCTGTGTCAGAATTTAGCCTCACTATAAGCAGTGTACACCAGACTGCTGCAACAGTTTATTCCTTTATTCTCTTGTATTAGTACTGAAAACTTGTATATACTACTTGTATTAGGACTGAAAAACATGTCACATTCCAACACATGCTTAGAGGAACTATCTCACAGAGTGCTGTGTCTCTACTGCAGCATTCCTACATTTTTTCTAGCCAAGTAAAATAAGGACTGAAGATAACTGCAGAGAATTCTGCGCATTTGCTGCATCTCCTCATTTCCCATGCCATGAGAAAGAGTGTAAAGGGACTATGGCAGTAGGTAAACCAGTAGAATTTGTGGCCTCAAGAAGGAAAATATAAGTCTGCTATGGTCTCTTCTTGGGAAAGGTGTCAGCACTAATAGCTTTCACATTTTATCCTAAATTATCATTGAAATCCACCTCTCCATCTAAAAGTATTCTACTTGTTAAAATGGCCAGCCACAAGCATTTATGAGATTAGGAAAAGAAGGGATCTATATAGATTGTCACTAGAGACAGACAAGTCAGCAAGAATGGTGTGGAGAGGGTGCAAAGCACAGCAACAGGAGAAGGAACTGATACCAAACAGGTAAATGCCATGTTTCTTAATCTTGTAATGTAGACCATCTATTGTTATTCCTTTAGATCATTACTGGGAATACCATCCACACCACATGCACAGTGAGTTTGAGACCTTTGGAGACAATCACTTCACGGAACTGCAGAGTGTCCAGCCTCCCCAGCTGCAGCAGCTGTACAGGCACATGGAAATCGAACAAATGCATGTCTTGGATTCTACAATCCCAACTACACACATTGGACTCAACCACCAGGTATGGTTATCAGCCCTTCCTCAGAATTTAGGATGGTTGTTAAGGGTCAAGAAAATAACCCACCAGTGAATGCATACTCTTATGTGAAATAGATTTTGTCCTCAGCATAAAAAGGACATGGGACTGTTGGAACAAGTCCAGAGGAGGCCACGAGGATGATCAGGGGACTGGAGCACCTCCCGTATGAAGACAGGCTGAGAAAGTTGGGGCTGCTCAGCCTGGAGAAGGGAAGGCTGCGTGGAGACCTCAGAGCAGCCTTCCAGTATCTGAAGGGGGCCTATAGGGATGCTGGGGAGGGACTCTTCATTAGGGACTGTAGTGACAGGACAAGGGGTAACGGGTTCGAACTTAAACAGGGGAAGTTTAGATTGTATAAGGAAGAAGTTCTTTACTGTGAGGGTGGTGAGGCACTGGAACTGGATGCCCAAGGAAGCTGTGAATGCTCCATCCCTGGCAGTGTTCAAGACCAGGTTGGACAGAGCCTTGGGTGAAATGGTTTAGTGTGAGGTGTCCCTGCCCATGGTAGGGGGGTTGGAACTAGATGATCTTAAGGTCCTTTCCAACCCTAACTATTCTATGACTGCTGAAATCAATTACGTAAGTTCTTACCGCACAAGCACTTGATATAAAACTCTTCATTCTCAGGACAAATGTGGTTTAAGCATTCCTTTTATCTGGAGAAGAAGGACTCAAGTTCCTCAGACTGTGCCTAAAAAGATCATTGTGTTCTCTGGAGGTTTTTGAAATGTCAAAATTTTATTTCGTTTAGAATTAAAATCAAATGTTCTGAAATTCTGAAGAGGACCTTGACCTGAGAAGCTGTGTATTATCATAGCAAGGGTATCCATGGCTACCAGGAAGGATTCTGAGCCTCAAAATAGTAGGGAAGTTTTAAGTATTTCCAAGCAACCCCTACAATTTTACATGACCTGTACAAGAAATGATAACACAGATAGGTCACTGGTAATTTTACCACAGTGAAAAAGGCTAAGGACAATCTGCTTCTGTTTTGCCTGAAAATAAATAGGTCACAAGCCAAACCACACTGTCTTGCTGTGATTTTACATGAAGCCAGTCATTTCCCTGTAAAAAAAAGATACTCCATTGTGCAGTAAAGATAGTCACCAGAGTGCCAATGAATCCTCATATAAAGCTGAAATTATGAGGGTTTCCATCAGTGCTGCAAAGATGCTAAGCGAAGTGCGTGTGGAGATCACTTTTTAACTTGATCCTGCAAGAATATGCTCGAAGTCATTACCAGGAGCATTAAGGAAGCTAGGTGATCTTGTGCTAAGGAGTACCCCAAGGCAGGCAGCTATATACAGTGTGGTGAATACAAGACAGAGCAGGACTGAGGCCAGAGAGAAAAGTGTTTGCTGGTTACAGTGCTGCACATAATGGTGCCATTGCTGAAGTTTTGTGAGGGAAACTGCATGCATGGACTTGTCACTTGGAGCTTTTTATGCTCAAAGCAAACTGAAATAATCTATTAATCAAAAACAAAGAAAAAAATTGTGTAAGTTAACAGTGTCAACAGGAAACTGACTGACTGCAAGCCATCAAACTTGCCACCTATTACTCAGAAAAAAATCAGGAATAGAACAGAAGATGTAGATACAAGCGAAGAATTAGGAACAGAAAGTTACAAATATAAAAAATGCTTCATGGAACAGCAGTCTGTGGGAAGCTTCAAGTTGTTTCAGCTGCTCACTGCAACTGCTAACACATAGTGACCGACCGTTACCTCCAACCAAAGGCGAAGAATAAAAACGAGCCCTTTATGCATGTCTTTGGAAGTACCACCAGAAACCTAGAGCATGCTTCTGCTTATCCCACTTCACTCTACTCAGTTATCCTTCATTTCAGGACAAAAGGCAGACAATTTATATTGTTGCCACTTCCAATAAAGAGGATTATGCTTTCCCTGCCCCAACCAGTACCAAACTGCAGAGGATAACAGTAGGTAAAATTCACCACTACCCTCCTTGTCTTTACCAGTTAGGGATCATTGGCTTTTTACTTTAACTTACAGTGGCTCACGCAAGTGGTATTTGGCATGCTCTGAGGTTCAGACTTGGTCTCAGCCACAGTCATAGGCAACAGATACTATTAGTCAAGGCATTTTCAAAGAAGCAGAAGCAGGAAGCAAGCTTTAATCCTCCGCTGAATTTGCCAGTTACTAACTGCACCCATCTTGTCGTGGAATATCAGAGTTACAGTGAATAAAGGAAGAACTTGAAATGATATTTCTCTAATTATCTGTTGATAACACATTATTTTGTGAAATCAAATTTGAGGCTCAAGCTGTTCTTGGACAAGATTTCTTTAAAAAGTTGTGTTATCCTGTCAGCAGGTGATCTCACACATAATAAATTGAGAAAGGGATAATCAGTCTGAAGGAAGAATGAAAGAAAAGGTGGAAAACTGTAAAGAGCTTTAGAAAGAGGAAAATCACAAATGGATTGCACAGACCCTGAGACAACACCAGGATACAGAAAATAGCTAGCAGCTTCTTTAAGCTTTCTCTATCCAGAGCTGCATTAGTAACCTGTCTCTTTCAAACTCACTATCAGGTCCTCTGTAGCATAGCTGCGTGACACTGTATGTATTGACTTGTGCTGAGTTTTAGACACAAAGCAAGTGTAAGCAAAACTACAGGCAGAGAAAGTGGGCACAGTGTGGGGGAAGCTTACACAACTCCCCAGCTTGGCCTCTGCAACTCCCTTTGCTGGTAAGACACCATTCCCCCTCCTTCCTGAGCAGCACTCTGCCACTGTCCCCTTCCAGCCCCAGACAAGTGGTTTCCTTACTCCCAACAGTACCCCATGATGCGCTCTAGGTGTCTAAAACCATTTTCTCTGCAGGGGCACCAAATTCACTGTAAGACATTATCCCACCTTCTCATTCTCCTTCCCCCATGGCACTGTCTCTCCCTTCCTTCCTACCCCTGGGGCTGCAGCTTTCTTAACTGTAAAAAGCTAAAGGTGATTCTGCGGTGAGGGCTGAAGTTTTGCTCTTGGGGATCTGACAGGAAGCTTGCACACACTCTTACCCAATCCTGGCCTTCCTGCCAGATCGCCTCCAGCCAATGTGCCAACTCATTAACCGCCAGCCACTGAACCCCAAAACCAGCCTGTGGCCCACACTCCTTATTGGGACATTTCAAGCTGGTGCAAAACTCATCTGAAGAGCACCATTCTGCAAGGCCAGCCGTGGGATGGGTGGTGTGACTCATGGACACCCGCACCCCGCTTCAGTGCATAAGGTCCCCTGGGAAGGGAGTCAGGTTCAAGACATCCTTTCTTGATTGAGAGAAGGAAGAGTGGTTCAAAAGGAGCCCACCTTCCAGACCTATCGATCTGGCCCATGTAATGAAACCCACCTTCTATATGCTGCTGGGTTTCAGGGGTGTTGTTTGGTTTTCTTTTAATGTAGGAGTTGGGTTCTTGCTCCCTGTCCCTCAGACTGATCTGTTTCTCATTCTTAAATAAGAAGCTGCAATAGTTCATAGCAATGGAGCTGGTAAAGGGTCTGGAGAATAAGTTTTATGAGGAGTGGCTGAGGGAACCGGGGTTGTTTGGTCTGAAGCAGAGAAGGCTCAGAGGGGACCTTATTGTTTTCTACAACTGCCTGACAGGAGGTTGTAGTGAGGTGGGGGTGAGTCTCTTCTCCCAGGACAAGAGGAAATGGCCTCAAGCTGCACCAGGGGAGGTTTAGACCAGATATTAGGAACAAATTCTTCCCCAAAAGGTGCTCAGGCATTGGAACAGGCTGCCCAAGGTAGTGGTGGTATTGTCATCCCTGGAGTGTTGATGAGGCCCTTAGTGACATGGGTTAGTGGTGGCCTTGGCTGTCCTGTGGAACAGTTGGACTTGATGACCTTTAAGGTCTTTTCCAACCTGGCTGATTCTATGATTCTATGATTCGAACTGGTCACAATTCCTAACAAACCAGACTAGAACTGAGAATTTACAGAGCAGAGGTATATTCCACACTGTTCTGACAAGACCTCTATAAAAGGGCAAGACAATTTAGCACAAAAACTTGTTTGCTAGCTTTGCAGATGAGAAATCCCCATTAACAGGGTATTTTCAGATAGCCATTTCAGAAAAGAGAATGTCAGCCAATGTGATGTATCCTTTACCCTAGTGCTAAGGCTATTCGCCTCCTCACAGGGGAAATTCAGGACAGGAAGCTAACAGACCCATGTAACCCCATCTCCAGAGCTGGATGCAGTCCCTTGGGGATTCAGTGATGTTGGAAGGTACTATGCCTGAGAAATGGAGAGGACAACAGAGCCAAAACCAGTCAAAGCAGCCATGCAAGGGCAGAACTGTTCAGCTCTTTCAAATTTAAAAGAGCAGTTCCAGAAGGTCTGTGTAAGGAAAAAAGTTGTTCTCAAAAGCAGTTTTACACTGAGGATAGGCAACATGGATCAGAAACTCATTAGGAAGAATGACAGCTTTGGGGAGGTTTGGAGGAAGAGGGGCAATATCACTTACATAGGATATAACATAGGGGAAAGTTCTGACTTTCAAAACTGTATTCCTTCTTCCCTCATGTAAAGATGCATCTTTGTACATGTATAAGTGTTGACTGTTAGGTGGAAGAGTTTCTTACTGTATAGCATTTGTTATAAATGTCAACAACTACATCACTCAGTATTACCCTAAACAATCTCATGTATCTCTTACTTTCTCCTCCCTTTTCTCTGTTACTTTTTCCATGTCCCACTCTGTCACTACCTCCTGCCTCTACTACTCTTTTTTTCCCAAAGATGTCCTATTTGCCTCGGATGTGCCTACAGTACTCCTCTCCACTGCAGCCCAGTTCTGATGAGGAGGACATAGAGAGGCAGAGCCCCCCACTGGAAGTATCAGATGGGGAGACTGATGGTGTGGACCCTGGACCTGGAATTATGCATGGAGAAACAGGTCAGTGAAGACATAGGGACTCCATCAAACTATGTGCTGAGCAGCTGTTGTTACCGTGATTATGGCGAATAAAGCTGCAGAACTGCTGTAATAGTATTTTATCCCACTGCCTAAACTTCATGTTCTCTGATTCCTTGCACTCTCCAGTCCTGAAAATCTTTTATGACCATAACTGTGTCTATATCTCAAATCCCATTTTCACGTACTCTCACTTCCTTCTTCTGCCCTGCCTATTCAGGCTTCCGGAATGGATAATGGCTTTTGCCATTTATACTGCAATTTCCATTAACAGATGGGAAATCCAAGGTGAGAAGGTCAAGGAACTGATCTTTAAAGCATTTAGCTCTGTTTGTTCAGTTCCTGAAAGTCAGGTTCTGTATAAGCTGCCCAAATTAGCTTCAGATGGTTTCAAATTATGAATGCTTTTCAGTTGGCTTTAAATTAGCAAGTAAGTTTAAGAACAAAGGCTTGGCCTTTTGAATTCCTAATTCTTCTTTTTTTTGCCTGGTACATCAAGCTACATCATGCTCTCACAACTATAACACTGTCTATTGTTACAAATATTGCAAGCAGAAGCAGTTATGTGACTAGCTAGCTAAAAGTTAAAGCTAGGTAGCTAGCTAAAACAGTCATATGAATTACATACTTTCTGCTGTTTCAGCAAGAACTACGTGCTAATCCTGATGCTCCACTGCCTTTCTTCTTTGACTCTCACACAGGCAGCAAGAAGAAGATACGTCTGTACCAGTTCCTCCTGGACCTTCTTCGCAGTGGAGACATGAAGGACAGCATATGGTGGGTGGACAAGGAAAAAGGTACTTTCCAGTTCTCCTCCAAGCACAAAGAAGCATTGGCACATCGCTGGGGCATCCAGAAAGGCAACCGCAAGAAAATGACCTACCAGAAGATGGCACGGGCTTTGAGAAACTACGGCAAGACAGGGGAGGTGAAGAAGGTCAAGAAGAAGCTGACCTACCAGTTTAGTGGAGAGGTGATGGGAAGGGGGGTCACTGATAGGAAGCATTATCCTCACTGAGGCCATAGGACCCTAAGCAAGAAACATATTAAGGCCTCCTGGCTGGATACCAGCAGAGGAGATGGACGCATCTTTTTCTTTGCTTCCTGTGCCCCCTTCTCTGCGTTTAAATGGCCTTTACCTTCAGATGTTTCTGGTACGAATTTCCTTCTTCAGCATCTGAGAATCCTAAAAGTGACAGAATTCTTTGCTTCCATCCTACAAGTTGGACAGAGTCGGGAAATTTAAACCATGTACAAATATATTATTGTCAGGATTTTTTTTGTTGTTGTTTGATTGTATTGTAACTAAAGAATACAGCTGATGAAGTTTTGCCTTCAAAGGTGGTGCTGTGTCATTCACAGTGACACTGCATTAGCTTACAGCTTTCAAACTAGCATTAATACAGGCTCTGCCGCAGCTCTCACAGCTAGAGAGAAGTTTGCAGATCTTGGAATGATACTCGTTCTTTTAAATAGTAATAACATGTACATATTTAATAAAATTTGATATAATGAAGTTATGGTGTTTGCATAATAAATGATTGCTTCACAAACAGATGTCACGTGCATTCAGTTATGCAGATACAGTTTATGTGTGGTACCTGAATGAAAAGCACACTGGGTTATAGGGTTTTATCCATCTGCCACTACTTCTTAATTTACAAACACCTTCAATGTTGTCAAACTAATTAACAAAGATAACAGGTGAGATACATTATTATGAAAGAGACTGCAATGATGAAGTCCATTTTAAAATACATATATCATCCCTATTTTTTCCTGTGCAAATGAGCCCTGCTAGTTCAATATCTTTTCACTTATACCAAGAATGGCATTTATAGCTCTATCCGGTTCAGAACATAACAATCAACCATATTCTTCTGTGGTTTCACTCATTTTCCTGCTCCTGTTCTTTTCCTTTTGCTTGCTTACCTCCACAGTGGTATCTTGAGTTTACTTATGAGCCTTTCTGGGAAATAAGTTGTATTTAATCATGTCTTTGCAGAATTCTAACACAAAAGGTTGTCAGGCTTTTGACTGTGGATTTCAATCCCTACTGTAAAACAATAGTAACTAATAACAATTCCATTACACTCAATATGCAAAATAAAAGAACATTCAACCCCTGAGATACCACAGTAAAGTTTCCCAGTATACCTAAACACAGAAAAGTCAGCCAACACTGAGAAAATTAGCATTTTAATTTTTAACATCATTTAATACATCTCAGTTCAAGCACTCAGAAATCAGAAAATATCATTATGATTCTTGCAAAAGAGAGGAGGTGCAAAGAGATCGATCTAGAATGAAGAGTTTTCTTTAACAATACTGAAGTTAGGAAAACACGTCAAATATAACAATTTGGAAGTTGTAGCTCAGTAATGTAACTAACTTGAAGCTTTTCAGAGCTTGCTCCTCACTGAAATCTGAAATATTTGAAAGCGATGAGCTTCTTACAGACCTCAGTTCTCAAAATGACATCTAAATGCAGTCAGTTTTGTCTATATAACAACCACTGTGGAAGTGAAAAGGCTGGTGACATCACCAGGCTACGGTGTTGGTTGGAGCCAAACATTAAAAATCACAATGTACTTCTCAGTTCATGAACACCTTAAATACAACAATCAATGTCAGAAATCAGCTGAAGGTTAAAAGCGGGTGAAGGAGTCAGAACTTTCTCTATCCAACACAAGAATAAGAAATAAAAAACATCTTTCAGTTTCATAAAAAATCCTGCAACCCAACTTTTCTTTAGAGTTCTTTGAGAACTATGTATACTTTCCAAGTCAAATGTTTTATTCAATTAAGGATAGGATATGCCAAAGCTATAAAACAACTTAAGAAGACATTTTGTTTCTGTAAGAACTTACTTCCTATAGAACACAATGTCATACTCACTAAAGTTAGCTCACATAAACAACATCTACATCCATGCTGCAATTGTAGGATGGAAACTGAAGATACTGAAGTTAGCTCTCTGAAGCCTGGAACAACAGTCAACACTGACATCATTAGGGTTTCCTCAATGCTGAGCTAGAAACTCAGGACTCTTCTGCTTGGTACTGATGATGACTCTCCACCACTGACTTGTTACTAGAAAGAGATACTTGCCTTCAGAGAATCATAGAATAATTTGCGTTGGAAGGGACTTTCAAAGGTCGTCTAGTCCAACCCCCCTGCAAAGAGCATGGGCACCTTCTACTAGATCAGGTTGCCCAGAACCACATCCAGCTTGGCCTTGAATGTCTACAGGGATGGCACATCCACCAGCTCTCTGGGTAAGACGTAAAGAGTTGATATTCAAGAAAACTAGAGGATTAATTCCTCTCTTCATAAAAATATCTTTATCATAAACACTGCTTGAAAAGCAGAACTGATCATTCTCACTATAATTTGGAGGAGAAGGATCATTTCCTCTTACAGGAAAGCTATGATGACTGAAAAGAGCTAACTGGTGAGCTACTTATGGAGATGTTTAGGACAACACAAAAGCCATTTCAAGCTTGTCAAAAAGCCTTCTTACATCTCAGAGACCTAGTTTTCCATTTGCTTATATAGAAAACAATTAAATGTTAGAGAAATAATACTAAATTAAAATAAACAAACAAACAATAAGAACCTTTACATGATTTGAGCAGTGTGCGTTACTATAAAATATTATTATAAAGCAGCTACTTGCACTTGAATTGAAGAATTTGCATTTTAGACTGATTTTGGCCACAAGTCACATGGAAATGGAAACAGAAGAATCTGAGGAAAACTATTTCTGGAGATGGTATTATTTATAATTAAAATGTTTCTAAAAATACTATTGAATATACTTTAATGAGCAGGATTAAAGTTTTCTTTATCTCCAAAGTTGAATTCTCTTTCTCTTCCTCTTGTTAATGCTTTGAAATACTGTTTCTAAAAATATTCACTCCCCATCTGTTTCTGGTTAGGTTTTTCATCTATGGCATAAAGAATCTGAATAATCATGTGTTGCAGCTGTGAAGGAGGCCAAACAATGATGCTTCTCCACCATAGTCCCCTTTGTATCCCATTCAATCGAACTGGTCAGGATAACAGGCTGCCTAAAAACAAGCTGAATTATTGCCATTAAGTTTCACATGCAAACAGATGCTTTTGGCTGTTTTAGAGAAAAATGCCAAATTTCATGTGACAAAATCACTGGTTCAGTAAAATTTAGAAGGAAGCATTCCATTTTATACAAAAATGGTCAAGTACCAGACAGGGGGACATGCTGGAAGAGGTAAGTCAGGGCAGTAGCTGGAGAGTGCTAGTACCACAAGTTTATTGGAACATTTTGTGTCCAATTACTGTTAAGAGATCCTCAATCCTCTTTCAAAGCACACATTCATGCTACAGCCAGATATTCAACTTACATATGACCTTTGCAGCCTGCTTTAAAAAACAAAACCAAGCACTTTCATTAGCTGCTGACTAGTTCCTGAAGAATTTTTGTGGAAAGGTATTGTTCAGAAAACTAATGTGGAGCTAAACCTAAAATACTGAACTTCCTACAGCATTTTAGATCCCCAGCCGTACATCACAGGTATAGAAGGTTAAAAAATTGCCCTGGATGTACAGAGGGAGAATCTGCTGATAACAATTTACAGAGATCACACATATTTTTTAATTCTGCCCCATCAAAGAGAGTTTTAGACATTCTTAGATCTGAGCTGCTACTCACCTACATCGGACTGCTCTGCAGTTAAAGGTGCTATCATTTGGTTTTTCTGACTATCTGGCTTTATAAAATCCTCCAAACTTCCTGGAAAATACATATATGTATTCTAATAGATTTACTGGTGGGTTTTTTTGTTTCTGTCTTCATTAAATTTTATGTCCATAGCCTCATCTTGCAATCCACACACTACCAGTCTCATAGTCTGTGTCTTCATTTTCAAATACAGCAGGGCTTTGCCAGTTTTTTTTGCACCAGTAAACCTGTCTCAGTTTACCTTTTCTGTTTGTATCCCTTAATCTCTTTTCCTGTCTTAATTTTTCTCTATTTTTTTCTCCCTAATTCAAATCTCTGCACAACAAAAGTCACTTCATAATCATCAAGCTTAATTCAAGATATAGTGCCAACTTCAGAATGGGTACATCATGTGACAGTTCAGTTTTAGTGTCACTCTAATTTTGTTTATACTCTCTGCACACTGTAAATTCAGCCTTTATCACTGATGACAATACAGTAAGTGTTTTTTCTTTGAGAATGCCCAGAACAGTATCTTCTCCATGAGAATCCCACTCTTATGTATTTAAAATGTGTGTATTTCTGTTAGAAAAGTCTATGATATGACAAAGGCTATAGCACACTCTGGGGACCAGTTCCAGGAGTTTGCATTTATTTCTAACTTACTTTGTGTGCTAACTTACTATCTCTCCACCTTTCTTTATTCTAAGACGCTCAAACCAGATTTACACAATTTCACATAACCATATACCTAAAACAATAAAAATGCAAAGCTGTTAATAAACAAAGCTACTGAAATGGACGCACTAATCTCATCCTACAGTCAAGTACACAAACAGCTTTGCTCTTTGAAATAACTGTAACGTAGCTAAGACTTCATCAAGTTTCACCTAACAAATTTAGATGTTGCAGTTCAGTTGGCTCAGTTGAGCTTGTGGTATGAGGGAGGTCTGTACATAACCCAAGGCACCAGAGACCTATCCCAAGAACTGGAGAACATGAACTTTTTCCAAAGAACATGAAAACAGCAGCAGGCTGCAGGTATTTCTCATTTTCTCACTGTACTCATCTGTGTCTGCTTTAGTCCCATTTATTTCTCTCACAATACCTCACATCACCACACAGGATCAGAGAGTAACTTTGGTTGGAAGAGACCTTCAAAGGTCACCTCATCCAAGCCCCTACTCATAGCAGGCCAATTAGATCAGGTTTCTCAGGACAAGGTTTCCTTCCATTCTCTGTTTCTTTCCATTCTCTCCCCTCATACAGCCACATCCCCCTTCTTCATGCCTTCAGTTCCCCACAGTGTTACTTTTTACTACTGAGGAGCCAAAGCAGTACGTGAGAATAAGCAGAGTAGTCTATGGGCAAGAAGGGAATGAGGATGTGGTAGAGCAGATAAGGTTTAGCAGGAGGTGGTGGAGGAGAAGGAAGGGTGGGAGGAGATGCTGGGGAGACCAAGGTTATGCAAAGGATTGGGGAAGCGGCTTTGTGGTAGGAAGGAATGCAGTTTCTGTGCTTTAAGAGCTCCCCCTGAGCTTTTGTTTTAACACCCCAGCAGCAGAGCAGCACTGTTCTTCATATGAGAAGCCTTTTGACCACTAACACCTTTGTGCAGAATGCTCTGATGCCTCTGCCTAATGCAAAGTGAAGAACGTTTGGGTGCTCAGCTGGGCATTTGTGTAAGCAAATCAGTTTGGGTTTCTTTTAGATGTAACTCATTTTCTAAGGTTTGAGTGTTTGCTTTTAGAAACCTAATACTAGAATTCTTCTTTAGACGTTCCCTCTTCCATGTTTTCCAACACACCAGCACT